GTACTAATTAAAATGGATGAGATATCCGTAAATATTCGTAAATATCCGCAAATATCTATTTATTTTCCGGATATCCGTTTTTCCGGATATCCGTATTTTTTCGAAGCAAAGCAAATACCAAAATTAGATATCCGTAACATTCGAAGCAAATCACAAATACCTTAAAAAACCCGGATATCCGATCCGTGCCCACCCCTAAATGGCATAGGTTCATAAAACTTTTAGAGGTTTTTTACTTGAACATATGCCTTTAAATAATGAATTTTTTAAAGAGATGTTTATAATCACTAAAATGTCAGATCCGGTCACGGCTTGATGCGTTATATATCATATATTTTCTCACATTGCTCTAGTGGCTATAAAGAAATAGTAGGATAATAGTTATAAATAAAGTAGCAAATCGAGATCCTGTAGACAAATCGCTTATAACAAGCTTAAAACACATGTGAGCAGCGGGTTTCACAGATCAGATTAAAGTCACCAGCGATGGTATTTGAACAATTATCTAATGGATAAATTAATTAAGCATTATCCACCGGCAGAAGAAGTTAAATCCTCTCATGCATATTTCAAGCTCAAGATGCTTAAACGTTTATAGATATTTTTATTCTAAGAAATTAGGCTTGTCATTATAATTATAAAAACAAAACTAAACATTCTAAATATTTGTAATTACCTGAACACTTTCATAAGTTGGTGTTAATTTATTACTTGTAATTTGAACATTTTCCAAAATATTTATTGAAGACATTACCGTATTTATCGTCGGTGTTAAACGAGTTTCTTAAAAGAGGAAGACCCACAAAAAATGATAATAATCTATCACAAAGGAGACCAAAGAAAGATCGATCTTTGTTGAATTTTTGCACTGTACGCGGATTCCACTGATATGTGGCGGTCTGCAATTAATTCGTTTTTGATTTTTTTTTGGGACAAATAAAAGAAAATAAAAATTAAGAAACCTCTTAGAGGTGTTATCGATAATCATGTCCTACGAAGCGTATAATTATGGTTACCATTGAAGTATTTAGTGCAATTTCTTGTTTAACCACAAAACTATGATTATTAATTACTAGTAGTTAATCTAATTAGAGTATTGAAACACTAACTGAACAGCCAACCAATGAATCCCACATCATAGTTGACTAGTAGTTATTGTTTCTAACGTCATCTTTCTGAAGTCAGCACCTTCGATAAAGACGACGTCATGTGTGCTAACGTCGATGTGGATCGGAATAAGTGGCATTTTCGTCGGTGCATTGGTCGCCAATTGCCAGCTACTTGGCAATTATTAATCTCTTTTATGTATAAACAACTAAATATCGTACCAAATCATTTATGTGTGTTGTGTTTCTAGAAAACCTTATGTTAATGACAGACCGTATTAATATGTTAAAAGATTTGAGGGAGTATCCTACTTAACAATAAAAAATATCATAACTATGTAAATGACACTAAGTGAAATTAATGTGCCGCTAGCTAATAAATTCGTTAACCAATGTTAACAATAAACAAAAATTGCTCATACTATGGCTTCAGTCCATACTATATACCTACCATTTGGAAGCAACGTAACACAAGACTTTAAACTGTATAAGCACTGTCTGTACCGTAGCTTATAAAGAAAATAAACTGACTGACTATTCATGTAAAGTTGGGATTCTCTTTCTCAGATGCAAAAGAATGATATATCGATGGAATCCTATCTCAAAAGTTTGTTGCGCCTCTTTCAACCATGACTATTATTCTTTTAATTTTAACCTGTTTTCATAAACAATTCCCACAACAGTTTCTTACATTTTTTTAATATCAATCACAATACAAAATTAGATGAATAATATGATTATTATAGGATTTACATGAATTATTTTTGACACAAAAACTCTTTACAATAATAATATGGTTTTAAAGCATAATTTCAGGGAAAATCCTTACTCTTCTGCCTCTCTATCTATCAAACCTGTAAACACACACATTTTCTGGTAGATTCCTTATGTCTTTCACACGTAACTAACAATTAATCGTTTGATTGGTATTAGTGGGAGTAATATGGGGTAAAATAAAAAGGTGGAAAAGAGCTGAAAGAAAGAAAAAGAAAAAGGGATCTGTATAATTAAAATGACCATACAATCACATCCTAAGTTTTCTCATTACTGTAACCAAAAATACAATATTTTGTTTGTAATGATAACTGAACCGCGTAGATTAGTATAATTAAAATGGAAGATTATATAAAACGAAAACTAGTTTTCTATTACATGACAGATCATGAGCTAAAGTCAACACCTAAGTTTCCTTTCTATTTCCCTTATCTAGTACTCCCAAATTTGGTGTCTACTAAAGACAAAAAAGCAACTACCTGGTGGAGCGCACATGTCCTAAATCCTAATTTAATTTTACTATTTTATACTAAAATACACCCTAGTGTATATGTAGAATATACGTAATGTGGGTTTATTGCGTATACATATGGTTTAACTATAACATTTTGTACTTTCTTAGTACTTTCTTATCAGTTTTTTTATTTATGATGCCCTCATCTGCTAACGTGTTTGCACAACTTTACACTTGCCCTATATCTATATATATATATGTGTACAATCACTTTATCCATTCAATAGCATAGAGACGAGACTTGAGAGAAAGAAAACGGCTAAGAAACATACACACAAAGCACACTCTACTCTCTCAAAATGAATTCTCCCCACGAAAAGGCGATGCAAGCTATCCTTTATGGACATAACTGTGCCAAGCGGTTGAAGCAGCGGCTCGAAGATCCAATGGCTGACGACAGTTCGGTTTCAGACTATGATCTTGCTACATCGATCGTCCATTGTTTTTCCAACGCCATCTCAATCTTATCTGATAGTCCCAAATCCGAGGATGATCAGGTTTCTGATTTATCTTCAATGGGTTCTCCTCCTCCTCTTCCAGAGAGAAGCTACTCCAAGAAAAGGTATTGATGATTAACATTTAGCCTTCAATGTTTCCTTGCTTCAAAAAATGAGTTCAAAGAAAACTATGATTTTAAAAATATTTTTTGATTTTGTTTTCTTATAAACGCAATATCATCACATAGATTACTGTGGGGCTAGCTAATCAATGGTATATGTGGAATTGTATGCTAATATTTTGATATCATCATGTTTTCAGAAAGATTAATATGACAAATTCAATTATGAACTGGAGGGACGATTCACCGGATCCCTACTACGACGGGTTTCTCTGGAGGAAATACGGCCAAAAGTCTATCAAAAACACTAAACATGAAAGGTAAAATAAGAAACAGTTTAATCATATTTCATCAACTTTATAATGTATATCAACATTAAGTCTTTAAATCATTTCCGTTTTGATCACTGATATACTAATTAGTATGCATTAATGTTGATACAGGAGCTACTATAGATGTTCTTACAACATAGATCATGCCTGTGAAGCAAGAAAGCATGAACAGCAGATCAAAGACAACCCTCCGGTTTACCGAACCACTTACTTTGGCCACCACACTTGCAAGATTAACCATAATCATGATGCCGTTTTCACTGCGGTTCGAGATCAGGTCGATGATATGGGAAGTTCCCGGATTATACGCTTCGGGAAAGAACTTGATCAGGAGAAGGAAAATCACTCGACCGGTTTTCCTTTACCGGTTAAGCATGAAGAAGGTATCATCAAAGAGGAAACCACGGACCAGTACCGTGAGATGACCGGTGATGATGTTAAAGATTGTCAACATGTGATGGAAGAGAATCAGTCATCACTATCAAGTTCATATACTCCTCCGTCGTCATCTGTCAGTGAAACTGACGTGTCTGATTTAGATCTGCTATTGAACAACTTAGACTCGTGGGATCGTTATGGTTTGTTTGACTTTGGAGTTCAGTAGAGATTTTTCAGCTAAAGTATCTACTTTTACGAGAAATAATGAGAATTACGCGTACGTATGTTATTGAAAAGTTTCTATCATCTTGTCGAGCATAACTAGAATATTTTGAAGTGGGTTGTTGTAATAGAATCATTTGCTAGAGAAAGTGTAATACATATATATATATAAACCAAACCAGGAAATAAATAATAAAACAAAGTTTAGCCAACTTTGGAGTGTAATTTCCCCAAGTCAACGTTAGTCTTTGACTTCCTAGCTCGATCAAAACAAACTTCCTTCATGTCATCATCCTATCATTTATCTTTTTGCGTTTTTTTTTTTACTTTTGTAGCCAAATACGTAAAGGAAAATTTGACTAGCTGCATGACCACACAATACAATTTTTTAAAAATAGATAAATAATAACTTGACTAAGCATAAAAACAAATTTATCCTAAAGAAAAAGGTGTAATGTAGTGTGAATTCTCCATTCCAATGTTTGAAAGTCTTATCATCTCTTATTTTCTAAGTCCAAATAATATAATATTTAGGTGTACAAAAATCCATTCTTTGCAAAATTGCCTTCACCCTGTGCTACGTATAATTCCAGACTTTACTGTATAGTTGCAAAATGCAAACAACGGCCCGTTAGGTAGAACGAAATGAATAACGAATTTTACAAAACAATCCGCTCTCTATGTAGTATTTTCCTTAGATTTGCGTCTAGCTAGGTTTTTCTCGTTTTCTTATATAAGCGTAAGGAAACAGATGACGACATGAGTGGAGCTTTTGTTACCAAGTCAAAAGATAGTCGCGTCCACTTCCCTACATTTGTCTGTTGACACAAAGAAAGTAAAACAACAAATCGTAAACAAAAAAAAATGGTAAACCATTCTTTGGAAAGAGAATGTGAAAACCCCAATGACAACATGCTGTGTTAATCTAAATATAGATGAATTCGAACTCAGGTCCCGTAAAATCCATGGTGCTATCACCCGACCACAAACACGTGGTTCAAATAGTAAACAATGCAGACAATACTGGACTAGAATACTATATGGTTGCTACCTATGACACGATCTGCGCAGAGATATGAAGTTATACATAAATGAACTAGAATACTTTATAGGTAAAAAGACTACTACAAAATTTAATATTTGGTGAGTGAATTGTGTTTGGGAATTCTTTCTTAATTTCGTTTTGCAAACCCACTAAATGTGCATAACTAAAACCCAAATAAGTAATGTCTAAAAAATCTTTAAGAATGGGAAATAAGCTAATCTATTAAAATAGAAGTACAAATATAAATTAACCCTTAAACTTGCACAATATTTACAATTTAATTCCATTGAAAATTAAATATACATATATTTAAGTAATCATTTTCATTTTTTATTTTATTAAATTATTTCCTAAATCAAATTTACCTAAAATTTTGTGATCAACATATTTCCTAAAATGATTTAGCTAAATTTTAGGACAATTCAAATTTACAAAAAAATTAATAATATAATATTTCCAAAATATCATATAAACTCCAAACATTTAGCTTGTAAGGTTTAAAATATATGTATATTAAGACTTTTAAAAATATATATTTAACCATTACCATATATTATTTTAAACAATAAAATCTATCTATGCTAAGATTTAACTATTTTTGAATTATTTTTAGAATAATATGGATTTTTTTATAATCAAATATTCATTTTAATCTATCTGAATGTTTCCTAATATATATATATATATTTCAAATATTTTTAAAATATATTTTATCCAATTTCAGTTACTATTAATTATTTTCAAAAATAAATTTATCTATATAAAATTTTAAATATCATAAAATTACTTGTATAATAATATTTAATGTTTATAAAGGAATATTTCTTTTTTGTTGTATCTAAATCTCGCCATATGACCTATATATAATCAAAATATTTAAAATATTATATAATTGGACAAAAATTTTGTATTAAAAGAGCATTACTCAAACATATCAACGGTTCAATGTTTGTTGAAATTTAATATGATACATGGGTTAATATTTGTTTTTAACATGTAAACTATTTCACTATAATGTTTATAAAAAAATTAAAATATGATAAATATTTAAAATATTAACTAACAAACATTTATATAATACTTTTACATATAAAAGCGAAAATAAATATCCGCACGGACGTGCGGGTCAATTTCTAATTTTATTTTAAAGGTAGATTTTATTTGTGAACGTTGTATAGGATTCTATTCATGATATAAACTCTATAACCTTTTCTAAATCCTAATGTAATCTATGTCAGCATCGGACTGAGGGTCCAGAACCCAAATAAGGCCCAAGCACAATCGACTAATCTCATGAATGAAACAATTAGGCCCTATAACACTGGACTGGACTGGACTAGACTGGAAAGATCTAATTCAATTTGCTTCGCAGAACCAAACAATACAACAACCAAGTGGTAATACAAATAGAACTGACCTTGAAGAAAGCTAACCAAGCTTAGAAGTTTGACCTCTAGCTAATAGATGGGCTAACTCCTTTTATCTTTATCTTTGAACTAATCATTATTAGTGGGCTAACTTCTTTTATTTTTATCTTTGAACTGCTATGATATCTGATCGGGACATAATTGATCAAAGGCTCGGAAAATTTTATTTATTAATAAATGCTCTTTTAATTTATAAAAGTTGTAATCTCTTGCAAAATTAAGAAAAAGCCTTCGGTGAAAATATACTTTTTGTTCCTTTGCCGACCTAACGTGGAGACTTGTCAAACATTTTTGCAAGTGTGAAACTTCTCAGCTCCTTCGTAAGGATTCATCATGAGCAATCTTTGTTTCACTTCAAAAAAACTTTTGTTACAAAAAATCAACCAAAAACTTTTGTTACAAAAAATCAACGAAGTCTAATAAAACAAGAAAAGAAAGAAAGAACATATTCCAAGTCTTCCACCTAACCAAGAAAACGATCTGAGGTGGGTTTGAACTTTGAAGGTTCGGTATAATGGATCCACAGACAAAACAGAACGCCGGACAAAACATTCATAATCCTATTCCGACATCAGTCGTAGTAGACATACATAGCTTAACTTCAGAAGGTAATGATCTAAAGCTTCTGAGAGAATCAGCGGGTTCAGAGTCATGTTGCATAGTGAGAATCCCCCACAGCCTCGCCCGGATCAACCTCAAAGCTTACGAGCCCAAGATCGTCTCCATTGGTCCTTACCACAACGGCAAAGAACATCTAAAAATGGCTCAGCAGCATAAACGCAGGTTCTTGAAGTTCTTGGTGGCTAAAATGCAAGAAAATAGAACTAATCCTCAAGAATTAGTCAACGCTGTGTCAAGCTTGGAAGAAGTTATAAGAGGTTGTTACTCAGAGGATCTTGGTTTAGATTCTGAAAAGTTGGTTGAGATGATGGTTCTTGATGGTTGCTTTATCCTCACGTTGTTCTTGGTAGTTTCTGGTAAAGTTGTTTACACTAATCTTGATGATCCAATTTTCAGAATGCCATGGATCTTACCGTCGATTCGAGCTGATCTTCTCCTTTTGGAGAATCAGGTTCCTTTTTTTCTTCTTCAAACGCTTTTCGAAACATCGAAGTTGGTTGCCTCTAGCTGTTTAAACGAGTTAGCGTTTGAGTTTTTCCACTATTCGTTACAAAAACCAGAAGCGTTTTGGACAAAACATTATAGTCTTGAAGCTAAACACCTTCTTGACTTGATACGCAAGACTTTTATCCCTGTTACTTGTCAAAGAAGCATCAAAGAAGACAATGGTTTTCTTGAATTCGTTTTATCAGCCAAGAAGCTTCATCTTCGAGGAATCAAATTCAAACCGAGGAAGAACACAGATTCAATCTTAGACATAAGGTTTAGTAACGGTGTGCTTCATATTCCTCCTGTAGTCATGGATGATTTCACTGCCACGGTGTTTTTAAACTGTGTGGCGTTTGAGCAGTTATATGCAGATTCATCAAACCACATAACGAGCTACGTGGCCTTCATGGCTTGTCTAATAAACGAAGAGAGTGATGCAGCGTTCCTTAGCGAGAGGAGGATTCTTGAGAACTATTTTGGAACAGAGGAAGAAGTGTCTAGGTTTTATAAAAGCATTGGCAAAGATGTTGCTTTGGACTTAGAGAGGAGTTACTTAGCGAAAGTGTTTGAAGGGGTTAATGAGTATAGTTCTAAAGGGTTCCATGTTCATTGCGCAGAGTTTGTTCACACGCATTTTGATAGTCCATGGACATTTGCATCATCGTTTGCAGCTTTGTTGCTTCTTATGTTTGCTGCTTTACAAGTTTTCTTTGCAGCTTATAGTTATTTTAAACCTCCAAAAGAAAAGTGAGAGATGCTTGTAAATTTACTTGTTCTAATTATTTGAGTCTAATATTATCCTTTGTTGTTTTCATTGATAATTTGATTTATGATCTTAATAGAGAGATGGTTGTATGGGTAACATAATCAAATACAGAATCTCAAAACACTTTTTTCTTCATTTTGACGTGGCTTTTGCGACTTCACGAAAATCAAAGGTCTTCACTTTGTTGAACTCATTAGTCATTGGTGAAGAAGAGGCACCTTCATAAGAGCCTTCAGGTAAGTACTCGATCTCGGTGCTACATTGGGCATATGCCGTCGTCACTTTGTTGAACTCATTAGTCATTGGTGAAGAAGAGGCACCTTCATAAGAACCTCCAGGATAGTGTTCGATCACGTTGCTACATTGCGCACATGCCCAGTCTGTTGGGTGTCTCTTGCTTCTTCTTCTTCTTTTCACCCCCACGCTGTTTTCTGCATCTTTTTCTCCAACCTTTGTCAAACCATCTGCTTTTAGGGGTTTGTCTTCTTTCTTGCTCTGTTTCTTCATGAAAAACATGACTTTAAAAAATCTAAGACATCCTGTAAACATTTTTTTTAATGAAGAGTGAAGTGGTAGATGAATGAATTTTTTAATAAACAATATGCTTGCGTGTTGAACTTTATAAACACGCAAGTATTTGATTTATTGACTCCACGCAGCTTCCTATCTTCCACCACTCACTTGCTAAGAAATTACCAAAAATATACAGATTTATATTTTATTAACTAAAAGTTATTTATCAGTTTGATATACAAATATATAGATTTATGTCATATTAAATATAATAACATATATGGTTTATATACTGGAATATGTAATTGAGTGCATTATTAAAATAAAAAATAAAGAAAGGAAAGAAAAGTTATAGTTCTCAGTTCAATATATGGTCAATGTTCATTTGCATGCCGCAGCGACATGCGACTGACTGCATGTCGCAAGTTGTTGTTCATTTTGTTGTTGCTAGATTAATTGTGTGATTATATCGTATGTTGCAAGCCGCATGTTATTGTTGTTTTAATGTCAAGTGACAAGTCGCAAATCATGATTTAATTCGCTAAAAAATTAACGACTAAAATTTTTTTTTGTGAGATGGGTCGCAGTTCGTAGAACTTACAAAACAAATAAACGAATAACATTTGGTTGCGACTTGCAAACGAAGGCCTAATCACTTCAGTTAAGAAGATCATCTCGATGGGTATGACGACTTCTTGAACACCTGCAACTTGAGATTATGGTCAAAATATATTTAGGTGGTGATTTTAGTTTCTAGTTTTTGGATTTTGGTTTTTAAAATTTAGTTTTTAATTTTTGATTTTGCAGTAGATTTTAGGTTTTTTTAACAAAACATGAATGATTTTTTTTGATTTGGCTTTTAAATTTTGGGTTTTGGTATTAAAATTAGTAAAATGAAAATATTATTAGTAATAAACTATTTATTTCAAAAACTTAAATAAAAAATACTATTATCAAAACACGTATACTTATTTAATAAAACTATTTTAAAATAACAAACTGCAAATACAAAATAAAACTATCTATTTTCTTAACAACATTTTAATTAAATAGATTAGAAATACTATATATTAAAACACATATGTAATAAGATGACGATGAAACATGATTTCTTTTTGACTAAACACATAAAAATCATTTACGTTAATAATAATAATAATAATAATAATAATAATAATAATCTATTTTTATGACCAAACACAATACTATACCAAACATGTGTTAGTTTTTGTATGACCAAATACATACAAATGCAAATATAAAGACTAATCACTACAAAATCCTATTTTTTATTTTTTCTAGTTAATTAAATTGTTTTATTATCATATTTATCATTAAAATATTTATGTTTTAAATTACTATTAAATAATTTTTTAAATTTTCTTTTTTTTTTCTGATGATTTTGAAAAAACATTATATTTTATAAACTCTTTTATTTATAACTTAAAAAATACTATCAAATACTATTTTACATTTTTGTTTAAGATTTTAGTAAATAAATATCACTATCAGACAATCATTTACAATTATCTTATATTTAGAATTACCGAGAATTAGATTACTATCATATCATTATTTCAATACTATTAAATATTTTTTAGCTACTATTTTACAATTCGTATCACTACTATTTTTACGGTTATGATTTTTAATTAAATAATTTAACTATCAGAAATAATCAAAATGGTACATAAAGGTAACAAATGGCATTGACAACAACTAAACTACAACAAAAAAGTAATTTGAAATTCAGAAAAAAACATCATAACTAATTTTATAGTGTCTATTAAACAAACACACAAAATCATAATAGGCACATTAACTTATGTACAATATCAAACATCTATACTACATACAAACACTTAAATATAACTATGGCAATAACTAACGTATGACATCATGATAAATATTACAACAATAAAAATCATCACCAATTTAAGCATAAAAGAATATAAAAAATATTTCAAATAATTATTCTACAAATTTTATTTGTGTTAGGATTTGAAAAAATGGAAGAATACTATTAGACGCTCTCTTATAATTTTCTTATGTTCAAGATTTTAGAAAAGGATAGTTAGTATCAAATATCTTTTTCAGTTACCATTTCTTCATTATTTTAGAAAATGAAAATAGTATTAAATAAATTATTTTGCAAATCTTAGTATACATATTTTTATGATATGAATTACTATCAAATATTTTTTTTTGTAAATATCCTTTATTTAGGATTTTAAAAACGGAAAATTACCATTACATAATATTTCTATTTTTTTAATATTTCTAATTATTTTCTTAACAAAATTCATTTTTGTTATTATATATATATATATTAATCATGAAAGAGTTTAATACATGTCACAATCATAACTATATAATTGTCATGTGTCACAATCTTGTTAATTAGTAACTTTTAAGAACCAAGCTTTTTTTTTTAAAACTCACCAAGCTTTATATATTAAGATATATATATATATATATATATATATATACTAATAATTTGCACCTTACGCAGATGTGATTATTTTGTTATTTTTAATAAGAAGACATTAAATAGGTTTTTTTGTTTTTGTTTTTAATCACTTAAAATATAACTATCATTCTTTCGATGAAAATGTTTGATATTTTTAGTTTTTCCATTGATAACCAAACTCTTATTATTTATTTGGTGTTATATGAATTTTAGATATTCCTAATATCAAGTCAATGATTTCATATTATAGTTTTTAAGCAGATAATAGTTGAAAAAAATGAAAAGCAAATTATTAAGACAAATCATTTCATTACAATTTGGCCAACAGTGAAAAAAAAACATTAAGAAAAAAATATTTAAAAGTCCAAGACAATTAGATGTTTCACTTGTGGTGAATATTTAGTTATACATGTGCTCATATCAATGTGTACATGTAAGTGTATGTAAAAATATATAGAAGTAGTTGATAAATATATAAAAATAATGTTAATTAATATTAAAAGATATTTTTGTTCAAAATAAGACAAAAAACAAAATTCTTAAAATAAAACTAATTAAAAATAAATAAATCTAGACATTTATGAATTTTTTCATATAAAGAAAATTAAATTGTATCCGTAAATAATAAAAATAATATATATACTGAGTTTACTGCATTTTATTTTTAGTGTATCGTGTTATACCTTGGGCCAATCAGTGTTTAACATTTATTATTTATGGTAACAAATGTATTACAATTAAGCATTTATGGCAACAAATATTTTACAACTGAGTCTACTGAAAAAAAAAAGTCTAAGATTCTAAACCATGTATACACATTCGTAACAAAAAAAAAAGTTATGTATTTACCATCCCCATCCACAACCGATGATTGAAAGAGGATTAGGAATAGGTTCTCAAAATTTGATCTTTTCTCTTGATCCTTTCGGATCCATCACCGAAAATTGTCTTTTTATGTGAAATCTTTGTATAATTCATGGAACTGTGTATGTGAATTTTATATTAAAACATAAACTATATAGTTAAATACATTTATGTAGAATTTGGCTGAGGAACTCTTTATACGTGATAAGTCAGCATATTATTTTTCAAATCATTTTTCAAATCATTGTGAGATTGTCACGTGTACTTCATAGTGTGAACATAATATACGTGACAAGTCAGCATACTATTTTTCAAAACATTTTTAACTCATTGTAAGATTGTCACGTGTACTTCATAATGTAAACATATTTATTTCAATGTTTCTTCTTAATATAAGGGATATGCACCTACATAGTAAATATTGTTCAAAACAATCCAGTCCTTCTGTCCTTGGGAATCCTGTCACGATGAAAAATCTCAATTTTATTATTCTTCGTATTCATATGTTCTGGTTCTAACCTTTAATAGCCTTTGTAGTACAACGAACTTGTTTTTTTTTTTTTTGCCAAAATAGTACAACGAACTTGTTGACGTTCATATATATTCTTATTACAAGAAATAACTTTTTCTTCTTCTTTCGATTCATGGGAATATATAGGGATTGTATTAAGCGGAAAAGCAGATGAGATATACAAGATCAAAATAGGAGGACCATGCGCAGACTGCGAAGCGAGATGTGCAGCGAAACATTCGGGCCATGTGGTTGGAGTTAACTGTGATGAGGATGGTTCGTGTCTTTGTTCCTACATTAATTCTCGAACTTGTAGGGTGCAGGTTGGTTACTACGGGTCAGGGTGTTCGGACAGTGTGTGCCAAACAGATTGCTCTATCATCAGGGTCGGCCCAACCCAACAGGGGGCCCTATTCCAATTTGGAAAATGGGCCCTTTTCCCTTTATAAAAAAAAAAATTTCTTTTTTTTTAGTTAAGGCTAAAATTTTGTTTGGGCCCTAGGCAATGGCTTACTTGGCCTATGCCCTGGGTCGGGCCTGTTATCATTTACCGTCGTCAATTGCATGTGTGAATTCAAGAGTCCTGATTGTTTTTAACAAAATATCATATGAGAGAAAGATATTTTATATTAAAAAATAAAAAAAAACTAAACCAAGAAATAAACCAATTAAGAAAAGGGATATAAAAAGTGAATAGAGTTTAGACACGTCATCGTTTCACACGTGTTAACTCGTTGTTGACGGAGATAATTATTCGTGTTAACACGTGTGACCTAAGCAGATTTTCTTTCCTCTCTCTCTCCCCGAGGATTTGAGCTTTCATCTCTTTCCCGTCAAAAAATCTCCTCTGATTCTCCGGAAAACCTGAATCTGAATCATCATCAAAGTAAGTTCATATTCTTTATCTCTTCTTTACGACGACGATGTTCTGATATGTCAATTGGGTAGGGTTAACTTATGGAAGCAATTGAAATTGATTTCATTTAGATAGGTTCTCTGTGATTATCTCTGATTCACATCATTATGCTCACATGTTTTTTTTGTAACGATTTCATTACATGATTTTAATTCAAGCTATTACCGAGACTCTGTTAACATTTTTTTTTGAAACAACTCTGTTAAAGTTTAGAGTTAACGGTTTGGTAATGAATAAATGTTTCTGGTAAAAGTTAGAGTTAACGGTTTGGTGATGAAAAAGATAAATTAGATTGGGTTAT